CCCCCCACCCCGCACCGTTGCCGCTCCCCCCCCCCCGCCCCCTCCTCTCCGGAACGGACACTCCACCTCCATGCCTCGCTCATTCGTTGGTGAGTCTTGACCTGCCTCTGTCTCTCCAACACACCATATCCGTTATTGATTATTCTGCTGATTAGTTCTCTGAATTGCTAACTTTTTTATTGATTCCATTGATTATCCTTGGAATCCCAGACTTTCAGATCTGACCTGAATTTTTAACTGGAATTTGTCAATCTAAAAAAAAAATCTTCTAAAATCTAAATAAAACTTTTGAAACTTAAAATTAGCCGTGTAAAAATTACTGTTTTCAGAGTAAATATTTCAGTGCTGTGAATTCTGTGGACTTCAGTTTCCAGTGTTCAGCATTAAATAAATGCTGTTGCTTATAAGACTGAAGTCATTGTTTGCCTCCGTACACATGAGCCACTGTACTACAGGTAATTCAGCTTTTCCTCAGAGTTTCTACTCATCCTCTATTTGTTCTGCCACTTTTAAACTCCCAGACTCAGTCTGGGAGTTTTCACTGATGTACATTCATCAGTGGTTACAGTTATGGTTAATTGCGGCCTCAGTTTGGAAACGACCTCTTCATAGTTTCTTTTTCTTCCCCACTCTGTTATTCTCTCACCTTTTCCTTTATTTGTCTGTCCCTCAAACACTCAGTCTGTATGAAAACACCTGTAATAACAGAAGAAAACAGACAAATGATGCGACTATTCTTCCTCTCTTCCAGATGATTTTGAGTCCAAGTATTCATTTCATCCTCTGGACGATTTCCCTCCTCCGGGCGAGTATCGGCACTTCACCAAGATATACCCGAGCAAGGCCAACAGAGGTACAGAGTGCGGCTTCTGTCTTGTTCATTTATCCAGGGACTTAAAAACTAGAACAGACTTGGAGCCAGTTGATAAACACAGGAGACCTGATCTCTGCTTCTGTGCTCAGCATGTGACTGAGTCAGAACACTGTAGCTGTGAGATGCTGCTAATCTCCAACATCCTGCTGTAACCGTGTTAACGCGCGGAGGATTAGCATATTAGCCTGCTAGTTGTGAGTGGTTTAGGTAAAAGCAGAAACTTAAAAAGATGTATAAAGGAGAAGTGGTTGAAACATAAAAATACTGTCAAGAAATGATAACGACATTACAAAAATATGTTAAAGAAATCCGCACACACACGTCAGGACGTAGTGCATGTGTGGAACGTGTCTGTGTACACATACTCCTGATTGTAGTATGAACAGAAGCCATGAACCGGCCTATAGAGCTGAAGTGTGAAGTCCAGTCCCTTAGCCTGTGGTGCTGCTTCAGATCATTCCAGATGAGCTGAGGAGAAAGAGTCTCGTCACTCACCAGTAACTTCATATGTGTAAGGTTCAGACAACACGATTTACGCCCGATAACAGCTCGACCCGATGGTCGTAGGGTGTCGGAACGGACAAACGGTGGTGGATACAACAGTCTATCGTTTGATTTTGTATACACAAAGTCTAGCATGTCAGAATTGTCTTCATCGTCTACGACGTGGTGACCGACAGGAGCAGAGATGGCTCTGCCTGCATATTGGACTGAACCACGTTCATTAAATATCACAGTGATATAGATAAGTTAGCATAGTGACTTCCACAGTTGGCGTGTGAAGTAGCTACACTAGTTTTTTACTCTTTTACTTTTTTCTGATCCTTTTTATGCTTTTCCAAACACAAGCACCCAGTATCAGACACACCCTTCTCCCGGTCCCTGACACCTGCATGTCATGAACGATGTTGGGCTGTGACCTGTCAGGTACCAACGTGTACCAATCGTGTAGTCTGAACCGGGCCTTACAAACAGATGAGTCTTTATTATCAGGTGTGATGATCGTTACAGCCGACTTTCAAACTGAGTGGTTGTTGTGTTTGTTGCAGTGATGAGAGGAGCTCCTCCACTGCCTCCTGTTGGGAGGTGAAGCACAACGCCTGCACCACAGCTGGACCACACACACACACACACACACACACACACAGACATTAAACACAGGATACATCTTCATCACCACTGCAGCATCCAGCTTCACCATCCTTGAGGACTCCATCCACACTCACAGCTGGTTGGCTGATGAGAGGTCTGATGGAGACAAACGGTCCAGTCGTCTGTAGGAAACGGAGATGACTTCTGATTCAAAGGACAGAGTTTAATTCTGAAGTTTGCCCTGAGCTCGTTTTCTCAGCAGCTTCTTCGTCTTTTGACTCCACCAACCTTTAGTTTTTATTTTGCACTTGCACTTTTTGTTTGCCAGACCAACAAGCAGCTCCTCATCTGTCTGAACATCAGAGAAAGTTGATGCAGAAGAAGAAGAAGAAGAAGAAGAGTTTGTGGAGCTGAATGTCGCTGCAGGGCCCTTTAGTCCTCTGGCTCCTGGTGCAGCATGGAGGGAGGAGTGATGCTGACTCATCAAGAAGTGAGACTGTCATGTGGTGAAGCGGCGTCTGCGTTATGAGCAGTTTGACTTTTTGGGACAAACATTTGTTTTGTTTTGTTTGCTAACAGTTTCAGATCGACTTCAGTCTCGTGTTGAGTGGCTGTTTGTCAAACAAAAGCAGTGACAAAAGTCAAAACAAAACTGTCATATGCAACAGAATTAATCCTTCATTAACAGAAAAAAGAGAGACACTTTAAAATTTAATAGCAGAATGTTCAGGTAATGATAAATCCCCAAACTGTCCCAGATGTAAAAGCAGAGAATCCTTCTGAAAGTGCAGAAAGTAGATTTTGGACATTTTAGACATTGGGATTTTTTTTTTTTTCACAGACATTAATTCAGTTACCTTGTAGCTTCTTCGTCTTCTTCTTCCTTCAGCGTTTCCCGTTAGGGGTCGCCACAGCGAATCATCTGTTTCCACCTAACTCTATCCTCAACATCCTCTACTCTCACCCCAATTAACTTCATGTCCTCTTTTAGCACATCCATATATCTCCTCTTTGGCCTTCCTCTTGACCTCTTGCCTGGCAGCTCCATCTCCAACATCCTTCTACCAATATAACTGCTATCCCTCCTCTGCACATGTCCAAACCATCTCAATCTGGACTCTCTGACCTTGTCCCCAAAACAGCCGACCTGAGCTGTCCCTCTGATGTGCTCATTCCTAATCCTGTCCATCCTGGTC